CAGCCACATGAATGCAAGCGCCAGTGTTCTTGGAATTCTTATTAATGCTGGATCAATGGAGGTAATATTTTGAAGATCTTAAAATGAAGTCGTAATTTTTGAACTAGGAGTTGAATTATATTGTATTTCCCTCTGATGTTTACCATATCCACTACCAGTGCTCTGCCTCTTTACCTTTCTTTCTGTCCAATATAGACAATTGACATTACCCTCTCTGCATTTCTAAAATTGCAGGTTGTAGAACTCTAATATTTGGGATTGATGCCTACTCAGGGGCAGTTTTAGGTAGGGTGCATGGGGTGGGGACGGGGGGGGGGAGGGCACACCCTTTCCTAAGTTAACAGCGAGTTCTTTTACTATATATTTTCCCCAAAATCTTACAGAACTGATTTCTATAATGCTGCACTTTCGTGAGGAATGATTGTGGAACTCCCGATATACCATGGTTTTCTTGAATATTGTTTCATTCAATTATCTCCATTAATACCCTTATATATACAGTAATATTCTTAAGTTTGTAGTAAAAGATTCTTTTGTTAGACCTGGTTGATATTTCTTTCAGTTACTTTAAAGTGAAAGATGTGGGAGTGACATACACTACATGTGCATCGAAAAAAAATATAATCATACATATTTCACCAATTTACTTGCAGAGAGTACTCAACAGGCTAAGCAAATTAAAGGTAACTGCATCAAATTATCGAACACTGACCAAAATGGAAGCATTAGGAGAGTCACATGATGCATGCCTTCAAGATGTAAGAAGCAGAATAACCACCGAGAAGGCTTTTTTGGAGAATAAAAACAAGGAATTTCAGCAACTCCATGAGCAACTGTTAAAGGATGGAGACAGGAAACTAATATCACCTGAGTCCATAAATGCCAGAAAGGAATTGACAGAGCTACAAAAGAGCTGTCATCCTGGTTTTGTCATCATCTTCGACAACATTGATTTTCATTTGTCAAGAAGGAATATGTCTATGTCGGAGCAAAATAGGGATGTACACTGGGTTAACCCTAGTATGGTAGAGAATAGGGTGTCAGGTAACCATCTGTTGACTGCAAGAGAGAAAGATATCCTTGATATTCCTAATATCCAGTTCTTGCCTAGTGTTGAAGATCAAGGGCGACAAAGAATGAACTATGTAATTCTTGTCTCCAGAATACTTGTGGACTACTTTGATTCCTTCAATGTGTTTAAGGATGTGTGTGTGTGCGTCACATACCTCATAAGTACAGCCAAGAAATGTCTGTCAAATCAAGAAAGGTAAAGTTACCACTGCTTACAGATTACGTATAATTAGTGGACTAAATCCAGGATGATCAAGTTGAAGGGGTCTCAGCCTGCTCTTATCATAAGGTTCAATTTATTTTTTTACTTAAAAATATAGTTGTGCCACAGGTTTGAATTAAATAAAAACTGTGCATTTGCATCACCCTCTCAAAAATTCCACGTCTATCTGTCCTGTCAAATTTTATAAGAAAAAGCATAATTCATTGTAATGCAAACTATTTTTATCCTGGGATTGCTTTATTTCATTATGGTAATAATTTCTTAATTGCTTTAACAAGAGATTAGGTTATATTTTGGTTTTGCTTGGTAAATTAAATTCCAGGTCACGCAAGGTGATATTAAATTTTTGCATGCCCATGTAAGAGAGATTATAATTAAACCTGCTAAAAAAATGGCTGTGATCTAAGGTTATACTGGCTTTGTTTCAGTATGTATCTAATTCTTATTTTATTTATTATTTTTATAGACTCCTCTTGGGATCATTTTTAAGGATGAAAATATTAATGAGGATATGTTGTCAATTTTACAAGAGTTTCATGCATATCTACCCCAAACTGGAGAAGACCAATTTGACAGCCAACTGTTTGCAGGTGACCAGTTAACAGCTGAAAGAGCCACCAATGTGGTAGCTTCTGTTAGTAATGGCTATTCTGCAAAGGACAGACTGGAAGGAATAAATCTACAGTTAGGAGACTGGCATGCAGCGGTCAAAATATTAGATGTAAGTTGTTTGTGCATGTATTCAGTGTAATATGCAATGAAAAGGAATGAATGAATAAATAGAAAATAGAAAGTATGAAAATGGCAAACACTAACTGGACGACACCACAACAAATGCGGAGGTTCAAACAAAGACCCTATTAAATCATACAGATCTCTTTTAAGGGCATAGAAATCACATACCATTTATTGTTCTAATTCTTTGCTTAGTTATTTAGTTTCATTTTTCTTAGTTAATCTATCGCCGCTTCTACTCATCTAAATCAGATGTTGATCAATGTACATTGCACTCAGACAGATCTCTGATTAACCGACGTAACGTTACCCATGATCCACATTCCAACTACCGTGCAGATAGAGACTTTTTCCTACTCATTTTGAAATCACGCGTCGTTGTGGCAGCCATGAATGCTCCTTGTTTGGAACACAAAAACAGCACACCGACCTGTTTTATCATCCCCGAAGATATCTCTTCACTTTCCAAGC